ACTCACCAAAGTAGGATGCAGAACATTTTCTTAATAAGCTTTGTTATGCCAATTGACCTAGATGTCCCCTGAAAGCATGGTCCCCAGACCACTACACCTGCTACTCTGTCCCTCAAAGTGTTTGACTGTATTCAGGAAACTTCTTAGCTTTGGTTTAGTCCAGTTGTGCTGACTTTCCCTGGCAACGTGCCTGGTTTTTAATATAGCATTTTAAGAAATCACAGCTCAGATTAATTTGCGTGCTTAAATTATATTCATTCAAAAAAAAAATGGAAACAAATTCTGACAGATTTTCAACTAAAGATTTCACTGGAAATGGCAATGATGTCACTGGCTGGTCTTCTAGTGAGGTAAGGGCAAACAGGCGCAGCAGTTGTTATTTAAATATTTGTGAGTGGGAGAAGAAGTGGGAGGTACACTTAGTAACTTGGTCCATCAGAATCATCACTTTGTAGTTGGTATGTCTTATTTCTTTTGAATAAAGAATTCCCTTACATTCTGGATAGGAAAGGAATTGCTCATAGTAGTAGTATTCGTTTAAAGACCCAAAGATCTAAAGTTAAGCTTCATATGTATTCAGAAAGCACCTAAAACTGTTATTGGGTAAGCAACCATACTATATTAATGATATGATAGAATTTTATTTATGTTTTCCTTTGAGTAAACACATTTCTAAATATAAAATAGCTGAGATGAAAACCTGGGGATCAGAGGAAAGTAGTTAAAATTGGGACTGGAGAAAATAATCACTAAAAACTGACAAGCCTTAATATATATTTATTTAAGTGGTCAAAGTACATTACATACTTAGGAGATTAGAGAGCAGCAAAATGAAATGGGTAAAATATTGGCAGAGATCTGGTATGTAAGGAAGTCAGGAATAACCATCTTGTCCTTATAATCAAAAGAAACTATCCTTGCAGTGCTGAAAGTGCACTTTACACTACATGAATTTATAATTAATCTCTGAAGCTTCTGCAACATATACAAGAAGGTGGGCAGCTATCATTTTTGCTATCTAAGTAATACTAAGTGTCTAAGGAGATAAAGTTGTGCGTGTGGTTTGGGGAGCTAGACTCTTTTACAGTCACATCCATAAACTTACTTTATATTTAAAAAGACACACACAGTGTGTGCTAGATAGTGCCAACAGTTAGTCTCTCTTCTACCTAAAGAACCAAACAGTTTCCATTCTCTCGGATAATCATCATCTCTTATCTAGATTACTGCAATAGCCATTTAATTGGTCTTTCTATACAAGATTAGTCTTTCTAAAACAGAAATCTGATCATGTCTCTTCCCTTAGTTTTCACCTAACTAATTCCTACTCAGGAGTCCTTGGGTGGTACAAATGGTTAAGCACTGAACTTAGACAGTTGGTGGTTAAAATCCACCCAGAGGCACCTTGGAAGACAGGCCTGGCAATGTACTTCTGAGAGGTCACAGCCTTGAAAACCCTATGGAGCACTTCTGTTCTGCGCACACGGGGTCACCATGAGCCAGTACTGACTCAACAGCAACTAATAACAAATTCTTACTCAGCTTCTAAAGTTTAATGTTACTTCTTTCATGAAGCCTTCCCTGATATCCAGGACAGAGCTAGGTGACCCTCCTATTACTCCCGTGGCTCTATTCCATTTGTGGTGTGCCATGTCATTTTGCCACTGACTCTACAATCTGACTAGACAGTGAACTCCTTGAAAACAGGCACTATTTTATGTGTAGTGCCTGTCCCATCATTGAATACTTGCTGAATTAAACTTGCTAACATCACCAACAACTTCTAAGCACACGGATTACTAGATCACCACCACCATCAACACCACTTTCATGGAACTTGCACTTTCAACTTCAACTAGAACAGATTTCACACTTTTTTCAACGGAAAGTTTTTAATGATGAGCTCAATGTTAATTATACAACTTGTTATGTAAACAGGGATATGAAACTCAAACTTATAACTAGTTTCAGGTTTCTTCCTTACTTGAAAAACAGAACAAACAAAACCCATCCAATGCCTCTTTGAGGAGTTTTATTTTTTCCCGCAGATACGCAATAAAACATGTGTTGTATCCAAAAAAAGGTCTATTTTTAAAAGGAAAATTACAGAAAAAAGACATGCAAATATATTTAATACAGAAACATTTCCAACCCTAGGAAACAGTTTTCAAGCTGAAAAAGGAATAAAAAAAGATAAAACTAATACCGCTTCAAGTTATATAAGTTTCATTATTCACAATTTCCTTTCTTAGTATATAGTCCGGCTATACTGAATTCAGCATGTGTAACAAGAGCTGGTGAGTAAACTTAAATACTGTATTTTTACACAAATTCTACATTTGTCTGTTTGCCAACTGCACTTTCCCTCTTGCGCCATGCTAATTTTTTTTACATGTTGTAAGAATAAAATTAGCATAGCGGACTTACAAAAATACCTCACAGGGAGAGGGCACCGTTGGAAAACAAACATAGAATGTGTGCATTATTTGCATAAAAATACAGTAAGTAGAATATGCCATATTCATAATAAAAAAATTCCTACTTTTGTTGGGCAGTAACATAAACATCATGCTGGTCAAACACATATATACTGCAATGACTAAATTATCACATCTGTTTGCTTATATCATAAGAAGTAAAATGAAACATTTTTCTATGATGCAGAGACAAATAATTCCTTTTAGGGATTTACAATACCTTCCAGGTTCATTCCAGCTTGAAGACATTTTCGATAGCGGCATGCTGGGCAGTTTTTTCTTCGAATTTTATCAATGATACAGTCATTTCTCCCAGCACAAAGATAATTGTGCTGTCCTATATGGAACATAAAAACACTGTTAAAATTTCACAGGTCTTAAAAGATACTTTTATGGAAGGCCTCTTTCCGTTTTTGTTTTGGGTGGCATGTAGCCAAGACCCAAAGACACTGATTAACAAAGGCACAGTCTACTTTCCTTCATTGCCTACATTATAAAGTTCGGAGGTGAACTAAAAATAGCTTCTTATTCTGTTCAATAAATTGAAAATAGTTTATTTAAAAAAACAAAACTTTATTAAAGTATACATACAGAAAATAGAAAAGGACACAAATCTTAAGTGTATCACTTAATAAATGTTCATGAAGTGAACACCCTGTGTAATCAGTTATCAGATCAAGAAACAGAACAGTACCCCACAAACCTCCCTTTGTGCTCTTTTCTAGTCACTACCCACCAAGGGAACCACTTTCTTGACAAATTTTGCTTTAAACAGTTCTTTTTTTAATATGAAAGACTAATTTATCTGTCTAGTGTTGCTAGCTAGCACACACTATGTTCTTTTTATATAAAAAGTAGGGTCATGAGTGTGATTACAAAGAGTCTAGTTCCCCAAACCACACACACAACTTTTTTAACTCCTCACTTTACAGAGATACTTCATATTACTTCAATAGCAAAAATGACAGGTGAAATCAGTCTTTCATCTGTTAGAGAAGATGTCTGTAGTCACTATTTATTATGACTTCTGACCTGATACCAAGGAGAACTAAAGGAAGGGGGAACTAGTTAAGCTACTGTGGGATCCCAAAGGGAAAACGGCTCTAATTCAACATTACGCCACCATATGCACATAAAATGGGCTTCCCTCCCAATTTTAAATGAAGAGACAGACAGACAGTAACATTTAATCTTGCATGTTGAAGTTGCCAGAAACTGGTCAGGTAAATTACAGACTTGGAACTTAAAAAAAAAAAATTATTTCACATGCTTTTAGAATATAAGAATGTTTGAATTCATCACTGACCTCAAATATACATATGAACACCTTTACTGTCTAAAACCTTCTGGTACCTGAACCAAACCAAATCCGATGCCACCAAGTCAATTCTGACTCATTGTGACCCCTCCTGGTACCCTGCATTAAGAGACAGAATTGCAGTTCTCTCTGGACAAAAATTTTGAAGGAAAAGACCCAAAGTGTCCCTTCCCTAAATGCACATATATGTAGTCTTCTTTCAATCTGGTTAGTGAATGCTGAAGAGAACTTGCTGAGGATCTGCTACTGGTTTGGCAAAAACTAGTCTCCTACACAAGACTGGCATGTCTGAACAGATATACTGACTAGATAACTAAGTTCATGTACCTTAGAGGGGATGGCCTTCACAAGATTATGCATGACTTTTTTTTAGAATAAATCGTATTCAAAGAAAAGAAAAATCATAATTATCAATTCACTGGCTTGAGAAGATCTAGTTCTATTTCTGGGAAAGGACTCTATGCATAGGGCAACCTAAGACTTGGATGAAAACAAACTATATTTGCTTCTCCCTACTATGATAAATTACAATGCTCTTTAAACACCAGTTCTGGGGAGATGGTTAACTGTATCAGGCTCAATTCTTTGTGAAGAATAGGACACAGTGGTAAGTAATGGACTACAGTTCAGCTTTGTTCCAGAGCTGCTCTCCAATGCAAATGTCTGTACCAGCTGTTTCAATTCCTTTCTGTGTTGTGTTACCTTTCTCAGCTTCTTCACTTGGACACGAAATGGAAGCACTAACTCAATAATTCTATCCTCTATAAAGTGAAAGTAGGAACAATAGATATATCTATAGGTGAGGCAGTTACAATACAAATATTTGAGAATATTCCTAAATCACTGTCCTGAAATTACTGAGACAATTTAAAAAATTATTTATTGCTAAAAACATTCCAATGTTTTTTTTTGTTGTTGTTCAACCAAAATATCAGAATGTGATAAAGAAACACTGATTTCTTTATCCCAAACATGTCTTGAGCACAATTAAGAATCTGAGCTACAGGATCAGCTGCATTGTACCTTCATAAGTTAAAATTAGACTTAGCTAGTTATCAGTATCAAGTTGGCATGTCTGTTTCTTATCTATAAAATCAGGAGTTTCAACTAGTGGTCTCTATTTCACAAAGCATGAACATGTATCATTAATAGTCATTCTCCTGACAGAACAATGAGACATCTCAGTTTGGAGTTCTTACGTTTTCTATCACATGGTAATTTCCCTTTCTAACAAAGAGCAGATGTCAGGTAGGTAAAGAGCCTTCAAGCCAGTTGGAATTTCTTACTATCGTTTTGTATACGCTGTATTTTTGTGGTTAGAATTTATTTTTGGCAAATGATTTTGGTTTCCTACTTATCGTAGGTGTGGTATCTAGCCTCCAAGATGGCCCCAACGATCCCTGCCTCCTGGTATTCACACTCTTGTGTAGTCTATTCCTATACTATAGCAGGATTGATTTGTGTGACCAAAAAATATGGCAGAAGTAATGGCATCTCACATTTGAAATAAGGATATCTCTCTTGGATCATTTGTTCTGGGGAAAGCCAGCTGCTATGTGAAGAGCAGCCCCAGCAGAGGGTCACTCAGTGAGGAACTAAAGACTCCTGCCAAAAGCCAAGTGAATGAGCTCAGAAGTAGACGGTCCAGTCCCAGCCTTGAGATGACTGCAGCCCTCAACAAGAGCCTGAATGTAATTTCATGACAGTCCCTAAACCAGGACCACCCAGCTAAACTACTCCGAGATTACTGTTGCTCAGAACCTGTGTGAAATAGTTTGTTGCTTTAAGCCAGTAATTTTTGAGGTAATGCATGATGCAGCAATAGATAACTAATACAGTTGTTAGGTGCTGTTGAATTGGTTCTGACTCATAGTGACCCCATGTACAACACAATGAAACGTTGCCTGATCCTATGCCATCCTTCTAAGAGTAGATATATTTGAGTCCATTGTTGCATCCACTGTGTCAATCCATTTCATTGAAGGGCTTCCTCTTTTTCATTTATCCTTTACTTCACCATGCATGATGTCCTTCTCCAGGAATTGGTCCCTCCTGATAACATGTCCAAAGTAAGGGAGATGAAGTCTTGCCATCCTCACTCCCAACGAGTATTCATTCTGACTGTACTTCTTCCAAGACAGATTTGTTAGTTCTTCTGGCAGTCTACAGTATATTCAATATTCTTCACCAACACCATAATTCAAATGCATCAGTTCTTCTTCCGTCTTCCTTATTCATTGTCCAGATTTCACATGCATATGAGGCAACTGAAAATACCATGACTTGGGTCAGGCACAACTTAGTCATTAAAGTGATATCTTTGCTTTTCAACATTTTAAAGACTTTCTTTTGCAGCAGATTTGCTCAATGCAATATGTCATTTGATTTCTTGATTGCTGCTTCCATGGGCATTGATTGTGGGTTCAAGTAAAATGAAATCCTTGACAACTTCAATATTTTCTCCGTTTATCATGATGTTGCTTATTGGCCCAGCTGTAAGATTTTTGTTTTCTTTATGTTGAGGTGTAATCCATATTGAGGGCTGTGGTCTTTGATCTTCATCAGAAAGTGCTTCAAGTCCTCTTCACTTTCAGCAAGCAAGGTTGTGACATCTGCATATCACAAGTTGTTAATGAGTGTTCCTCCAACCCTGATAACACACTGTTCTTCATATAGTCCAGTTTATCGGATTATCTGCTCAACATACAGATTGAATAAGCATGGTGAAAGGATATAATCCTGGTGCATACCTTTTCTGATTTTAAACCATGCAGTATCCCCTTGTCCTGTTCTAACAACTGCCTCTTGGTCTATGTGCGGGTTCTGCATGAACACAATTAAGTGTTCTGGAATTCCCAATCTTTGCAATGTTATCCATAATTTGTTATGATCCACAAAGTCAATGCCTTTGTGTAGTCAATAAAATATAGGTAAACATTTTTTTTTATATTCTCTGCTTTTAGCCAAGATCCATCTGACATCAGTAGGGATACTGAAGTTTTCTTTTTGAGTAAAATTAAGTTTTTTAAAAAGTGAGTCAAGAAAAAATTAAGTAATCAATAGAGCAGTGATGTAGGGATATGATCAACATCATGAAGGTGGTACAGAAAATGGCCAATGCTGCATAAGGGATGTTCTAGGGTCTTCTGCAGGTTGCATGCCCTACTGAAGTACCTGAGGATTAAATGTGAACTGTGATAGTCAGCTTGAGCTACTTTCTTTACCTGCAGTGTTGTACAGTGGAGAGTGCACTGGTACAGTGCCAGAGAGCCCCTGATCTGAAACCTGGCTCTATTTCCTAGCTGTGTGAGGTCGGTAATGTTTACTGACTTCCCTGAGCCTCTGTTTCCCCATCTGTAAAGTTAGAAACACAGCATGCCCCTTTCTGAGCTTCTGCAAGAGTTAGAGGTAATTGTGCAGAAGGTTCTTAGCACGATGCCCAGCACACTGTAAACACGCAATAAATGTTAGCTATTTGTTAATTCCCGCGTGATTACTTTCATCTAGTACCTAACTAGATTATAAACTTCCAGGTAACAAGAGTTTATCATATACTTCTTAGGAAGTCAGTGTAGCAGTGAGCTTAAGAGCTTGCTTGAGGTTTGGAGACAGATGTGTTTGAATCCCAGCTCGCCAATTAAACTCTCTGAGCCTTAGTTTTCTACTCTATCAAGTGCAGATCATAATAGCACCTAAGAGCTCACAAAGCCATCAATTAAATGATATGACATCTATAAAACATAGTATTTGGTATGTGGCAAACTAAGGGTAGCTGATGTGTATTTTCATCAAGACCCTCCAACAAAGATTACATGTACTTTTATGGTAGTGATGAAGGGGAGTGGGAGGGGAGCCCTAAGTGAAAGACCAACAGTTTTAGTGAGGAACTCAGGAACAAAAAAAAAAAAAGAAAAAAAAAAAGAATGATCATTGTTCTAGTGTACACTAAAAGAAATGGTGCTAACTACAGTTCATTTTTGTAGCAGAAAAGTGACTCTCAGAATATTCAATCAAAAAATCCGTAACAACCATTCTTGATCTGGGTTGCCTGTACAATAAATAAGTAAAACTTCTGCAAATTTCCTAAGAACTGCTAAAAGTTTGGGTGTTTATTATACTATGCCAATTTGGGGGGATAACCTAAAATTTCTAACAGGTGTTGAAACTGGAGTGCTAAATGTATGATGCCAATTATATAAGGCTCATATTTATAACTGCTTAAGGGAATGTTACAAAACATGAGCAAATTTCCATCATGTCTAGATAACTATTTTTTTAATAGTTTTCAGAATATGTCTTTCACTAAAACTGCTGGTCTTGACTTAAGGATTCTCTCCTCTTCACCTCTACCACCAACAGAAGGCTGTTTGAAAAGCTTTAAGGAAAAACAGAGGAACTGCTGTAAGTTAGGCTATCGAAGGATTACAGAATTTTAGAGCTTGGAAAGGGACCTCTGAAGACCATTAAAATCCAAATAAAGGAAGAAGCAGAGCAAAGTGATATACTTGGCATGTTCCCCAATTAAACTATTTTTAATTAACCATGCAATCAAACCATCATAATTTGATGAAATATCTAAATGATAAATATTTTGAAAGAGTATAGCTAATATTTAATTAAATTTTGCATAAAACGAGAATTTAGTTGTAAAGTAGGGATTAAACACAGAGGGTATGTGGCCTGTGGTGGTATTATATTTGGAAGGTATGTTTAGCTTTTTTTTCTCTTTTAAATTGCATCTGGACGCCTTTAGGGTGGGCATGCATGCGCTCTTTAATGTCAGTGCCTGCCTCCCTCCCCACAACTGTATTATATTTGGACACAATGACACATACTTGGTTCCCTGCAGCCATCTGAATTTGTAACTTTGTTTTTAAAGAATCATTTTAGTTAAAATAGAGAGGAGTGGAAAATATTCTTTTTAAATACCTATATTTCTTTGAAGGCTCCATCGTTTCATTCTGAATGTCACTTTCAATTCATCAATATTATCTATCATATACAGCAGAATTATATCACTGCATTTATACCATGGAAATACTTAAGCAGTTAAGAAAGTGCTGAATAAAGTAAAATAAGGGCAAAAAAGTCTGCCTTCTCTTGGGTCTGTGGTAAATCCCATCTATTTTGTCAGAGGCACTGTATTAAGCAGAGTGGGCTGCACTCATGACCCTATTTCATCGGTGGGGAACTGCTAAACTGGCCAAAGGCCTGCATCCCTGTGGCCTATGTGGGGTAACGTGCACCATTTTATAGAATACTAATGTATTAAAAAGCAACACACACAAAAGAAAATAACTCATCTAACTCCCAAGGATATGCAAACACAACTCTAGTCAAATAATAATCCTTTTCATACTGTGAATGAATAATTTTATTTCTTTAAAAATTAATATAATCGTCACTTTAGGTAACCCAGTCAGGCCACACTGCCTTCAAATGCTTTACAAATAACTAAGTAACATAATTATTTTTTCCAAAAGGATTCACTGGTAATATTTGAAAATTCTGAGTCACTTCCAATAATAATTTGCTATGACAATAATTTCTCCTTCCTTAGGGAGATGATGCTACTGCCCCTGTAAACAGGGTGAACTACTGAGTAATTCCGTAAAGATAAAACTCAAAAAATCCAAACCCGTTGCTGTTAAGACAATTCTGACTTAAAGTGACCCTACAGGACAGAGCAGAACTGCCCCACAGGGTTTCCAAGGAGCAGCTGGTGGATCTGAACTGCCAACTTTTTGGTTAGCAGCCTGAGCTCTTAACCACTGTGCCACCAGGACTCCATAAGAAGGACAAGGTTTATATTAATATAATACTCATACAGTAAAATCACTTTCACTAAAATACCTTTCCTGACCTCCTCTGGCAGAGTTTATCACACACTCTTCTCTATTATAATCCCTGTACCTTGTAATAATTAACTCATCTTTCGCTTCAACAGACTGACATCCCAGAGGGCAGGGATCAAGTCTCAGTTTGTATTTATACCACTTAGCACAGTACCCTGGCTCACTAGGAAAGAGAGGGAGGAGAAAAAAAAAAAATAATGAAAACTTTTTTCCCTTCAGAGTTCTCACCGTCATTCATTTTTGTCAGACTGGTATAGTTGGTGGCTTTGAAACTAGTTTATGGGCGTTAAATCCATGATTCTAATACAACCAGCATGATGTTACTACCAAATGTGATACCATAATTTCACATGATAGTGCTTTTTTACAGTGTTACCCCCTGCTCTCTGACCAAACTTGCTCCCCCTCAATTTATTTTTAGTTAATTAATTATTATTATTTCCTATTTTATTCTAGTTCTGGTTTTGCTCAATTTTTTAAAACATCTCCTTTGCACTGAGGGCCCAAGAGACATACTCCCCTCTCCACTTTACAGATTTCTAGCCTTAACGGGCTTTGGATATAATAGAACTTTCAAAGTCTACTTTGAGAAAGAGGAACCAAACAGAGGAAGAATAAACTCTTCAAAACACACACTACCTTCCACTGCTCTTTTGAAGAACACTTTACAGCTTCCACAAGTTAGGACCCCATAATGACATCCCGAAGCTTCATCAGAGCACACCAGGCAGAGTTTGGGAGGTGGTCCCATTGCTGTTGAAGAGCTGGATGGAGGAGAGCTTACATCTGGTCTCATTCCGGGGCTAAAGGAAAAGAAAACAATGTTATGATTTAACTATAATAACTGTCAAAGGAATATCAAAATACAGTTATCTTACCTTCCTACTCCACACTGAACACTGGCTTCAAGTACTAGCAAGCATTAAAATATCCTATCTAAATATATTCATATACTGCTATATTCCTTTTTTTATACAAGATTAAGAATGAAGTAATTTCTTCTGGAGTGTCTTCATAAAGAGAATAGTGAAGTTGTGGTTCACTTGGCAATTACAATTGTTAATTGCTTGTTGTTGCTGTTTTTAGGTGCCGTCTAGTCAGTTTTGACTCATAATAACCCTATGTAAAACAGAACGCAACACTGCCTGGTCCTGCGCCATCCTTACAACCGTTACTATGTTTGAGCCCACTGTTGCAGCCACTGTGTCAATCCATCTCACTAAGGGTCTTCCTCTTTTTCGCTGACCCTCTACTTTACCATGCCATCCTTCTCCAGGGGCTGGTCCCTCCTGATAACATGTCCAAAGTCCATAAGACAAAGTCTCATCATCCTCGTTTCTAAGGCGCATTCTGGCTGTACTTCTTCCAAGACAGATTTGTTCATTTTTCTGGCAGTCCACGGTATATTCAGTATTCCCCGCCAGCACTACAATTAAAAGGCATCAGTTCTTTGGTCTTCCTTATTGACTGTCCAGTTTTGCACGCATATGAGGCTGATGAAAATACCATGGCTTGGGTCAGGCACACCTTTGTCCTCAAGGTAACATCTTTGCTTTTTGACTCTTTGAAGAGATTTGCAGCAGATCTGCCTAATGCAATACGTGGTTTGATTTCTTGACTGCTGCTTCCCTGGGTGTTGATTGTGGATCCAAGTAAAATGAAATCCTTGACAACTTCAATCTTTTCTCTGTTTATCAGGATGTTGCTTACTGGTCCAGTTATAAGGATTTTTGCTTTCTTTATGTTGAGGTGCAATCCCTAGTGAAGCCTGTAGTTTTTGATCTTTATCAGTAAATGCTTCAAGTCCTCGACACTTTTGGAAAGCAAGGTTCTGTCATCTGCATAACACAAGCTGTTAATGAGTCTTCCTCCAATCCTGATACTGTGTTCTTCATATAGGCCCACTTCTCAGATTATCTGCTCAGCGTACAGACTGAATGAGTATGGTGAAAAGATACAAGCCTGATGTACACCTTTCCTGATTTTAAACCATGCAGCATCCCCTCGTTCAAAGGACTACCTCTTGGTTTATGTACAGGTGCCTCATGAGCACAATTAAGTACTCTGGAATTCCCATTCTTTGCAATGTTATCCATAATTTGTTATGATCTACACAGTAGAATGCCTTTGCACAGTCAATAAAACACAGGTAAACATCTTTCTGGTATTCTCTGCTTTCAGCCAAGATCCACCTCGTATCAGTAACGATATCCCTCGCTCCACAGTGGTGCTGACTGCTTGTTCTTGTTGTTGGTGCTGTCGATTTGCTTCCGTCTCAGTGACCCTGTGTACAACAGAACGAAACACTGCCCGGTCCTGTGCCATCCTCATAATCATTGCTATGTTTGAGCCCACTGTTACAGCCACTGTGTCAATCCACTTGGTTAAGGGTCCTCCTCTTTTTCACTGTCCCTCCAGCTTACCAAGCATGGAGTCATTCTCCAGGGACTGGTCCCTCCTGCTAACATGTCCAAAGTATGTGAGACGAAGTCTTGTCATCCTGGCTTCCAAGGAGCACTCTGTCTCTTAATTGCTTAGGATTTATTTTTATAATCACTGTTACTGAGGTATCATTAACATACAGTAAAATTCACCATCTTAAAAGTGTACAGATAATGAGTTATGTCAAATGTCTTGTCAAGTTTAACTACCACTGCAATCAATAGGTAGGACATTTCCATCATGCAAAAAGAAGCCTCCTACCCCTGTAATTTCCAAGGGCACTGATTTTTATTCTGTAATTTTAAGATCTTATACAGGCATCTTTAAAAATTCAAAGTCCAAACCTTTCACAACCTTAGAGTTTGGCTCTACCTCTCTCATTCCCAATGTTACTCTAGCGAAAACCACTATTTCTCCTGATTTAGAAAAGACTGATCCAGAAACATTACTTTTCTATATCCTCCCTATTTGGCTTACAGTACAATTAGGAGAGGCACTAAGCTTTCAACAGTGAGGATTATTCCCTTCTTCTCTCCACTCTATAAGGATATGCCCAGGAGAAAAAGATGGAAGATGCAAATCTGCTTCTCTCACTAGGTCTCATTTTCCATTGTGCGAACTTCCCACCATGTTGAATGTGGTCTGGCATTTACTAGTATTTGAAGATACATATTCTTTCCCCTAATTTGTTATTTTCAAAAGTTTCAAACTCTCAGAATAGTTAAATGAATTATACAATGGATATATACCCTATACCTATATTCGCCAATTCTTAACATTTCGCCACATTTACTTCTAAAGTTGTATCTTTATAAACCAAAGAAACAGCTATCCTTTTAATGTTGGAGAAAAATCAACTCTTCCACTTAATAATAAGTGGTATAATGGTTTCCAGTGTTGTATCTTCCTAAGGAATTTTCATCTTACACATGGACTTTAGAATCAAAACTTTAACTGTATAGCTAAAAAGAATTTCTAATTTTCTGCTTATAATTAGACTGAGCATTCCTTATCTGGTTATGTGTTCTCAAAACAGGCCTTCAAAAATATGCATGGTAACAACCTGCTGATTTTGGGAACTGTATATATTAAAGTAAGGGGCCCTAGCAGTGCAGTGGTTAAGAGCCTGGCTGTAACCAGCCAGCCACTCTGTGGGAGAAAGATGTGGCAGTCTGCTTAAGATTTACAGTTTGGGAAACACTATGGGGCAGTTCTACTCTGTCCTATAGGGTCACTATGAGTCAGAATTGAATTGACAGCAGTGGTATATATTAAAGTGCGTTTTTTATCACCTATACAAAAAAGTTCATAAACATTATTTTTCTCTGAACGTTTCTTAATTTGCCAATTCCCTAAAAAAGATGGCATTTAGGAATAAACTTAGATTGTGTGTAAGTTGTCTCTTTACCATTCTTTATCATTGCATGTTTTTGCTTATCCTAGCCAATAACAGTACTAAATCTCCATTACAAATATGTTTAAACTAATTCACTGAGCAAACTAACTTAAGATATTGTTTTGATGATCAATATGGTTAGAAATTTATTAAGTAACACATCTTTTTTTCTGTTGTAAGAATAAAAACTAATAGGTAATAATTCTAGAATAACAGTTTTGTTTTATAAATGTTACTATAAATAATTAAGCCAGTAAACTCCCCCTAAATTCTGTCCTCAAAAGAAGCTTTCCCTCAGCTTTCTCATTCTTTTTTGTTAGGAAAACAAATTTTACCATTATAAATACATAACTGGATAAATAAGGCAAAACTGCTTGCTCATGTCAGATTCGGTTCTCTTACATTATATCCCCCAAACTGTCTTCAGCTTCCTAAACCTTTGTTTCTCTAGGAGGCTTAGTCAGCAGGGCAGTATTCCTACCACCTCAATTCTAGGAACAGGCCTCAGGGTTCCATGCTGTTCTCTGAGCACTGCCAAAAAGAATCTCTGGATGATTTTGTATCACAAAGCATTGATTCCCTGCTAGATTTGGGAGAATGGACTCAGCGCATATTGAATGCTTACAATAGAAGAGAATGACCTGAAATGACTCTGCTGTAGGTCTGGCATGAGCCATCCTTGATTAATGGAAACTTGTGGTTAATGTAGAGGTGCTGCTCTGGGCCAGAGTTTTACAAAGAAGTAGGCAGGTCTTGGAGTGAGTGAACAGAGCAATGTGTTGGGGAAGCAAAATCTTCTCTGGCTTCTCTTCTGAGGATGCTCCTATTCCTGCTCGGCCAATCTCTCTGTCATCTGACATCTATTTTTAGAGACCAACCAGTTGTTTGTATATTTAGATTATGGAAAATGAGCACAATATTTTAAGATTTGAAAGATTAATTCTGTAACATTTCCTCAATTATACATGTGACATATACATTATTATGTGTTCATTTTATGTATTTTTAAAATTTTAAATAGGACTTTGCAGTGCTTTATAGTTTTAAAACACTTTCTTGAACATAATCTCATTCATACTCTCCACAGCACTGTGAAAAGGATATCATCATCCCTAGATGAGGTCACACAAGCAGGTGGATGATCAGGGAGCCTATGGGTGGTCAAACTGACTTGTTTCAGATCCCAGCTGTACCACTGAACAGCTTGTGTGACCTGGGTAGACATCTACTACTCTGAGCCTCAGTTTTCTCATTAGTAAACTGGGAAGGATATCACCTGGGTGTGTGCTGTGAAAATAAGATTTAACTCAGAAAATCTGGCACACAGTTCCTGCATCTAGCAGACACTCAAAAAATAGTCCTTCTTTCTCTTCGAGGATAATGGAAGATTTTATTAAAAAAAAAAGAAAGAAAGAAAAGCAGTATATAAGTATTACTGTGTAAGTGGAAAGTAGTAGTATTAAGTTTAAGACCTAGGACAGTAGTCCCAAATTCTCATTTATAATTAAAGCATATGCAAAACACGTTCAGACCACTCAACTGGGAGCTACATACAGATGACAAAAGAGAAAGTTAAAAATAAATGAACAACTAGACTGATAGAACAGTAGCTAAGAATCTGGAACCTAAGTGAGGCTTTTGGCATCCCCTGGGGTGGTCATTCTGGGCTGTTCAGATAAAAAGTGAGTACATGGGAAGTTGCCAGGTGTACCATAGACATCTGTGGAAAAAAATCAGTTTTGTCACATTAATAAGAAGACTATGATGGCTTATAATGAACACCACTGGAAATAATGGATGGATGTAAAATGGCATTCAACTGTAAATAAGACCCTATGATATTGCTGAAAGGAGGCAACAAAATGGTTAGAACTCCAGAAAAAACCATATGGAATTGCTATTTTTTAATAAGGATACATGGCAGAAAGAAATCAAAAGTATATCATAATTAGCGGGCATCCTGGT